ATAAAATCTTCGTCTGAAATACTTTGAATTAAACTTGAAATTTGGTCTTAGAAAAATCACCCTAAGTAACTCCCCTCTCCCACTTTCTCCCCAAAACACACTCTCACACCCACTCAAATGTATATAATCTTATTCCTTAAATCTTTTTTTAATTTTTGAATTTTTTTAATGGATCAGTTGCCTCCTGGACATGCCCAGACCGGTAACTGAACCCACAGCCTAAGGCATGTGCCTTGTCCAGGAAGCAAACTCACAAACTTTCAGCCGTGGGATGACTCTCAACAAACTGAGCCGCACCGGCCAGGGCTATTTACTAATTTTTTAAAGTCAATTTTACACCCAGAAAGTGCATGGATCTTGAATGTATGTGTTGATAAGTTTTGACAAATGTGTATCCCTGTGAAATACACACCCTAATCAAGATACAGACTATTTCTATAACCCCTTTGTGCCCCTTTCCAGTTAATTCTCATACCCCAGAGACAACCACCACAGATTAGCTTTATTTGTTCTTGAGCCTCACACAAGTGTTATCGTGAGCACTCTTCAGTGTCTGGCTTCTCTCTCTCAACATGATGCTTTCAAGATTCACTCATGTAGTTGCACGTCTCAGTAGCTGGTTCTTTTTTTTAGGTGGAGGTTCTGTTTGTTTATTTGTTTGTTTTTTCCCTCCATAGGGTTGTTCCTTCATAGGAAGGACAGTCAGAAAAAAACAATTTTATTTATATAAAATTTACAAAAAAGCTATAATCTAGTTAGCACATGGAGAATTTTGGCAGTCTGATTAACCTTCTCAGAATTGTTTTCCTTTCCTTTTCTTTTTTTGTTATTGTTCAAATACATTTGTCTCCATTTTCCTGCCACCATTTCCCCCTGCCTCCCCACGCCCCCGCCTGCCCCCCGCCCCCGCCTCAATCCTTTTGCACTTTGGCTTTGTCCATGGGTCCTTTATACATGTTCCTTGACTTGACCCTTCCCTTCTCTTCCCCCGCCCCCCCCCCCTTGATTCTGTTGGTTTCTTTTTTGTTTCAGAGTTGCTGGTTCTTTTTTTTTTTCAAAAAAAATTTTTATTGTTATTCTATTATAGCTGTCCCAATTTTTCCCCTCTTTGCTCTCCTCTGCCCAGCCCACCCCCTCGTAGTGGTTCATTCTCTTTAAGGAGTAGGAGTCCGATGAGTAGACAGACCACTATTTGTTTATCCAGTTTCCTGTCAATGAACATTTGGGCTGTTTCGACTTTGGGGCTACTATGCTTAAAGTTCCTATGAACATTGTGTACAGACCTTTCGTGAGCCTATGTTTTCATTTCTCTTGTATTAGATTTCCAGGGCTGTTGTTAACAAATTGCCACAACTGGATGGTTACTGAGAATAACAGACATTTACTCCCTCTCAGGTTAGGAGGCCAAAAGTCTGGAAGGTGGCAGCGTAGCTGGTTTCTTCTAGGGGCTTCAAGGGAGACTCTGTTGATGTCCCTCTTCTAGCTCCTGGTGGTTGCCAGCAATCCTTTGTGTCCCTTGGCTTGCAGCCTCATCGCTCCAGTGCCTGCTTCTGTTGTCACATGTCAGTAGTCATTTGCAGCCTGAGGGACAGTGGAGTGGAAGGTGGGTAGAAAAGCAGGAAATGGGGCAACTTGACTGGCTGTGCCAATTCTTGCCTCGAGCCTAAATTTACAGGCTCCCTGCAGGCTGGGCCTACCAACCTTAGACTGGGCTGAGACCACTGAGCTGGCAGTGTAAACAAAACAAGCACACACCAACGCCTGCAGCCATGAAGCTGATGTTCCTGGCCTTCTTCCCATAGTTTACCCCTCTGTATATCCACCCCTTTAGGAGCTTTACATCCTCCATCCTGCTCATCTTCCAGGAGTGTTGCCCAGTCCCAGAATCTAGAAACTCTTGCTTTCAAATCCTCTAGATAGGAAACACTAAACAAAAGCCAGCCTGTCTGGGCTTGGCCTTGCTGTACAGAACACAACACAAGAGGAACTATGACATTCAGAAAAATGTTCACAGTGCTTGTCCCTTCCTTTCCCCTGGGTCTCTTTTATTTATGTCCTCTGTGTGTGATTTGTGCAGTTATACCTGGTTTTAATTACAGGACCCAAAAGTACTGTAAGCATCAGTTAAAAAGAAATATTTCTCTTGGGCTCAGGTAGCATTTGAAATCCTGACTTTGAAGTTTAGGAAGCATCTTGACTCAGCCCCAGAGCTTTGAGTCTAGACTCTGCCAGTCCACTGCCTGGTCTTCCCTTAAAACGCACGTCTAACTTCAGGGCTTCCAGCCCCCTCCGACACCCTTGTACTTTGCCTTTCCCTTCTCCCTGCCATGGAATCAGGTCAGAAGCTTAAAGATCCGTGGGAGCATTGGCCATCGTTTAAGGCAGGTTTCCTTTATTTCATAGAGTTTTCCTAGAGTCCATTAGGTTCTAAGAGTTTCCAATGACAGGTTTCTGCCACAGGTTGTGGAGAACATCTTCACCTCAAATCAGTCCTTCCAGATCTATCCCAGGCAGGGAAATAACTAACTTCCTGAGATGCAGAAGGTTTTACTTCTGGGCAGCTATAGGATCTTTTTCTGCCCACTTGCTAGTGTCAGAAGGCTCCTACTGGTCTCACCTGGGATACTCCAGATCCATTCACCTTTGGGGTGTGAGCTGGGGGAGGCCATGAAGAAGAAAGGGGATTTTAAAAACCAAGCAGAATATGTAGTTTGGGCAGTCCCAGCAAGTGAGAAAAGACAGGAGGGCATCCTACTCACAAAGAAAATCTTCACACTCCTGAAGCTGTGTTGGCATGTGAGGCAGGCTGGCTGGGAAGCGGGTGCCTCTGTTCTCACAGGAGGTGCGCTGGTCTCAGCCAGTCGCCAGCCTGGCCAGGGAGATCGGGCAATAGAGCAGTGCTGAGCTGGCCCTGGTGGCTCTCTGCCTTCTGTGAGACGGGCTTGTTGTCTGGTTTTGCAAGAGCAAGGCCCTGATGTATAGGCCTTCGCCTACTGTGTCTCCTCTTTCCATTGTGGGTTCAGTAGGGCCTCCCCATTAATAAAAAATCCACAGAGTCACAGATTTCCTGGCAAAGGTTTTTTCCTATTAAAGCTCCTCCCTGCCATCTACCTCTCCAACTTTGCATTAGTCAACCATCTTAGGCTTTTAAATTTTCAATTTTTGTAGAGACGTAAAGTACATAATAGGGAATATAGTCAATAATATTGTAATAACTGTGCATGGTTCCAGGTGGGTACTAGACATATCGATCACTTCATAAGTTATTTAAATATCTAACTGCTATGCTGTACACCTAAAACTAATATAATATTGAATGTCAATTGTAATTGAAAAGTAAAAATAAAATTAAAACAAAATTTCAATTTTCATATTGTAAGCAAAAGAGCTAGTGGAGGATGATTTCCTGGGAGAAGAGTTTGGCTGCACATAGCTATGGGTTCTATCCCAGTGACACAAACAAGCTGGCTTATTTCAGGATGCACTAGGACTGAGAAATGTTTGAGGTCCTATATTAGTTAATTGCTTCATAACAAACCATCCCCAAACTTAACAACTTAAAACAAAAATTACTGTCTCATGGTTTTTCCGAATCAGGTATTCAGACAGGAAGTAGCCAGTCTCTGCTCTCTGATAGCTGGAGCCTCAGCTGGAAAACTTGAAAACTTGTGGGGTAGGGCTACTTGCTCAGGGCTGGAGGCAGGACCCCCAAGTGTAGCCCGGTTGGGGTGCAAGGGGACAGGGCTCCGTGGCGCTGTCCTCCAGCTCCAGACTTTGGTCTTGTGGCTGCAGTGCTTATGAATAAAGGCCTGCTGGGTCACAAGTGCAGAGAGAGCCCAAGGTGGGGCTGTCCCCTCCGCTGCATTAGGGACCCTTCCAAGAATGGTGTTGGACAGGCACTGTGAGGGCCTGATCCTTGGACAGTCGATGTGGAATTCTCCTTTGTGCAACTATGTCATCTAATAAAGCAATTAGGATTTTTTTCTTGGTAGAGAGACACTCTGCTCTGAAGTTTTCATATGCAAAATTTAGTAGGGGCCAGGACCCCTGGTGTTTAAATCCTTGCCTCCAGGGCACACTGCTGTTCCTCTCAGGGAAATGCAAACTCTCACCCCTGTCTGAGATTGATTTTTTGGGGACTAATATTTACTATTTATTGGAAACTTGCAAAACACTGTGCAACATCTCACATATGTTATCTCAGTTGTTTTCATGGAAGCCCCATGAGGCAGTTATGGTGTCCACCTGTCACAGAGAATACAAGAGTTTCAGAAAGGATAAGCCGTTGGTCCACGTCACACTGCTGGTAGAAGCTACTGTCATTTGATTCTAATCATCTCAGATATCTTTTTAAATAAGCAATATGAGTTAATAAACTCCTAAGTAACAGAATTACTTTGGATACAAAACCCCCAGATAATGCCTGGTCCACAAGGTGCCCAAAAGATGCATACATATGGCCAAAAAATATTTTTAAATAAGACATTTAAAGATCATTTGTAGTTTTTTTTCCTCATAACATGAGGGGCAAATTTGGGACAAAGTGGATTCCCTGTTATTTTATTATCACCCCATGTAAATTAAAAAACAGGGAGTAGAAAATCTTGGAGAAAATCCTGAGACTTTTAGTGTGCAATAAAATGTAAAGATTTAATAAACAAAAGCCCTTAAGAAAAACATTCAAGAGCCCTGCGAGTTTACTAAAACACAAGGGTTGAATTAATCTTGTGGAACTGAACTAAACTGAATGGAACGGGAGTTGGCAAGACTCAGCACACTCCAACAATGATGGCGTGGAAAAGAATACAATGGCTGTTCGCAGGCGCGAGTCTCAGACACCTAAAAGCGCTAGCCCCTTGCGCAAGCGCAGAACCGGGCGGTGGGAGCGGCTGCGAGGACTGGGTGTTCAGGATTCGTCCCGCCTTCCGCTTGCCTCGCGGCGCTCTGCTTCTGTTCCCAGCCCTGCCGCTAGGGGCGGCCGCGGTCTCCGTAGCCGCAACTGCTGCGGGGCTGCGCGGCACAGGTTTCCAGCCGGGCTCTTTTTCCAGCCGGGCCCCAGCATGGCTGCCCCCAGGGCTCCGGGTTGGGGAAGCGCCGCTTTCTCGTTTTCTTGACAACCCCTGGCTTCTGTGCTCTACTTTTCTTCCTCAGGCTATTCCAGCAGACATGTTTGCCAAGGCCTTTCGGGTCAAGTCCAACACGGCCATCAAGGGGTCGGACAGGTGAGGGAAAGAAAGGGCCTGTTCCGCCCACAAGGGCACCCAGGTATTTCTCAAAGCCAGTTGGTCCACAGCCCTTTTTGGGCTGGGTCAGCCGACCTGGGGTGGAGGCTGAGGGTTATACTCGGGGAAGGGACCCCAGGGGCAAGGGCGGATTAGACACACTTTGAGGGCGAAAATGGAAGGTAGGCCTGACATATCTCCCAGGCTGTGTTTTGGATATTCTAGTGAGTTGAAAAGAAAACGTACAGTGCAGCCTAGATTAGGCGTGGAGGATGCAAAAATGAAGGGATAGGGAAGAGCCCCTATCCGCCGAAGAGGTTAGAGTCCCTTGGGAGAGATCAGATGGGGCACAGAAAACTACAGGCATGCAAGGAAAAGTGTCAGTGATTACTTCTGGCAGGAGAGACAGATGGAGGGTGAAGTGGGAGAGGATAAGGCACGTGTGAGAACTGTATCTGTTCAGACAGTGCTGCAAATGCAAATGTCACGTTTCCAATTTTGGAACCAGTGTTCTATAGTTATTCTTTGTGCTCTGGTATAGTTATTTAATCATAATCTGACGGATTTGCCAAGCATCTATGAGAAAGGACTGGATCTGAGGGTTAGACACAGAATCAGGAAGGCAGGGCTGAGATTACAGTGTGAGACCGACTTGAGATGCTCACTGGGTCTCAGTTTTGCTTTCTCTATAAAATGGAAAGACTTGCCCAGGAACATAGAAGGTGAAAATAGATAAGACATTGGATGAGAAACAGAATAGGATGTTTCGGAAGGGTGTGCGAAAATAGGGCATTCTAAATCAGTCTTTCCTTGGCCCTCATAGTTTTATAGTGTGTCCTCAGTCCATCCAGGCAGCATTCGTACCAGGTATTGGTGTGATCTCTGCAGGAGAAAGCTTCGGGCTGATGTGGCAGCTGCTTTCCCCACTCTTGGAACCGATGGGGTCTCTGAGTTAGTACCTGGAAAAGAAGAGCTCAACGTTGTGAAGTTGTATGCTCACAGAGGGGATGCAGTGACCGTGTACGTGAGTGGTGGTAATCCCATCCTATTTGAACTGGAGAAAAATCTATATCCGACAGGTATGGCAGTAGGATGGAGGTGGCCATTACTATAGTCCTTGCCTACTATGTGTTTCTCCTTTTTTCTTCCAATAACCTCTCTTCCTTAAAACAAACAAGTTGAAAATCTCCCCATACCATTCCTAAAGATCTTTTTGGACCCAGTGTCCCTAGAATTGGGTCTTTCAAGAGCAGAAACTGCTATAGGAGTGAGGAATAAAAGGAGCTAATGCAGAAAAGGGGTGGTTGCCAAGGGAAATTCTGAGATGACGGAACAAGTTTATAGTAGGTTAATTAGGGATGGAGCAGAGGTCTTGAAAACAGTGGCATCTCATGGCATGAATCTTTCTGAAAACTACCACTAGCAGGATTTTCTTAATGCACCAAAGAGATACTGTTACAGGAAAGAAGCTGGATTAATTAAACTACGTACTGCACTGACTTAGTGATGTACTTCAGTCAGGATACCTCACAGGGGGTCTTTCTTAGGCTCTGCCTGGCTCTCAGGGTTCTCTGCTTTCTCTCTTTGTCACAGGTCTCAGAGACTCAGTGTTCTTTGTTTGTTTTCTATAGCTACTGACACCTAGAAAGTCACTCGGGCCTTTCTTTCTCCAAGTTTGGCTGAAACAGTATAATGCAGTCTCCTTCGGCCACTCCTACCCAACCTCTCTTTACTGCTGTACAAACACAGGCCTTTCTGATTTAGAGTATTATTGTTAATCCCTATGGAAACAAAATAAAAATAATAGACATGGGAAAGTTTCAGAATTTCTTACAGGGTGGGGCCCTGTTTTTAGGTTACTTACTTCTGAGGTAATAAATGGAATCCTCATTGGGTCTGTGTCCCCATTTTTATCCACTGTGGCCATTTTCTGCTAGTGCAATCCAGGTGGAATAATAGGTGCCTCCAAATCTCAGGTGACATCCAATTTCTTAAGTCTCTGTCTTCTTTAAGAATGAATTCTCTGTGAGTATCCCCTCAACAACCTTCTTGCTAGCTTTGAGCTGAGTTTCTTTTCTATATCCTAATTAAATCAACCTTGGTTTTTGGCTTTGCCAGTGTCCCAGGGGATTGACTCTTTGGCCGTTAAATGTTTTCTGGATCTCTTTTTGGACAGTGTACGCCCTGTGGTCATATCCTGATCTTCTACCAACGTTCACAACATGGCCTCTGGTGCTCGAAAAACTGGTGGGGGGTGCAGGTAAGGATTTTCCTATATTCTGGCTACTGGTTGAAACCTACTTAGGAAGGGCCAGCTACTTTAAGAGATGTGCCTGTTTCCTGAATTCATATGTTTGAAGAATGGAGTTTATCCCCCGTGTGTGTTATGTCTTGCATTTGGCTGCTTCCATGAGCCCTCTGGACTTCTCTGACTGTTTGTAAGACTTGAATAAGATAAATGATGTAAAAGCACCTCAGGAACTGCCCTATCGCTACACTGTAAATCAACAAGCTGAACTTAGGAAACCAGGATAAGATAGATTGTGGAGCTGGACCCTCAACTTGGTGCTTTGATATCACCACTGGCACCCCCCTCCCTCTCCTCCCATCCCCTGCTGCATTGGGAAAGGGTCTGCTACTCACGTTGCCATTTTTAATTTGCATTATGAATAATATAGTTCATAATTATATTAATAAGTGTTTGTTACGCGAATAAATAAACGATGAAGTTAAACGTGGAATTAGATGGAAGCAGAACATGAATTGTGATGCTTCTGTTTGCTGCAGATTTGATGCTGCCAGGACTAGTGGTACCCCCTGCTGGTCTGCCTCAGGTACAGAAGGGTGACCTCTGTGCCGTTGCCTTGGTGGGAAACAGGTACTGTGCCAGCCAGCTGTGCCTTTTGGGCAAAAACTTAAGTAAAACTGGGGAGGGGGTTGGGAAGTGACAACTTTTCAAAGCATATGGATAAAGGATTAAGAGCAAAAAACCAGATTCTTCTGGAAGAAGCAGAAAGTCACAATGAGATGGACGTGTGGGTTGTCCACACATCTGGGCCAAGTGTATTTGCTGCTGCTGCTGCTTTTTTTTTTCTTTTTTTAAAATAATTTTAGATTTATAGAAGAGTTGCAAAGATAGTAGAGAGTTCTGATACACCCAGCTTGCTGTAATTATAACATTTTGTATAAAAATAGTTTAGTTATCAAAGCTAAGGAATTAATGTTGGTACAATACCATTAACACAACTGCAAACTTTATTCCAGTTTTGCCACTAATGTCTTTTTTTTTGCTTTTCAAATATTCAGTCTAGAATACCACAGTGCGTTTAGTTGTCGTGTCTTCTTAGTCACCTGTCTGCCATTTTTCTGGTCTTTCCTTGTCTTCCCTGATCTTGGTTGATACTTTCCCTCCATCACCCACATCATCATCCTCATCTTTTAATTATTTCAGTAGCTTTATTGAGATGAACTTTACATACTATAAAATTAACCTGTTTCAAATGTACTTTTCAATGCTTTTTAGTATATTTACAGTGTTCAGCCATTACCACTGCTATTTAAAAATAATGGTAATATAAGATGTAATAAAATGAACAATTCTGAAAAATCAAAAACCGTCTTATCTCACCATCCTTTTCTCCTAGTAGCCATCATCATTTTGAGGCCTATATTTGCCAACCTTCTTCAATGCATAGATACGTGCGCATATAAAAATTATTTAGGGTTTAAAAATACAAACAGAATTATACTTTATCTGTGTTGTTTTTCACTTAAGAAATCATGGGCAGTTTCCATGTCAGCAAGCCCAGATACACCGAATCTTTTCACCTGCCGTGTGGTGATGGAAGAGGTCCTCTCCTAGTGGATATTCTGCTATCTCCAATTTGTCTCTGTCAGAAACAATATCTTACTGATGCCTCCTGGAATACTAGTGCCATTGTTTTTCTAGAGTAGATACTATTGCCCTGAGAAAAAGCTGTATTAGTTTTCAGTCCCACCTACGGGACGTGATTTCCCTACATTGTCACCAACACTGGATATGATGGGTCACTTTCATTTGTATCATCTTGAGTGAAAAATGACATCTCATTATTTTACTCATTGCTGTTTTCAGAAAGAGAGATTGAAAGCATGGGAGGGGAGTCAGTGTTCAAGGATCTTATTTTTGCTACTGATATACTCCCGTTTGCCTTGAACCTTTGGAACCAAGCACCTAGAAATGTTTCCTTCCTTGTTTACCTGTAACAAAACTTGTGGTTGAAAAGAATGGTGGTGTCAACGTTTTTCCCTCTAGTATTCTACTGAAGAGAGAGTAAAACTCCATCAATGTGTATTTAGCCTGCTCAGTTTGGCCTTTAGAATGCATACGGGGATGATGCACGGGGGTGGCTTGTGGCGGGGGATAAGGGTACAAAGAAGTTTGTTGATACTACAAGCCATGTTTGAGACTGAAGTTCCCGAGTCATTGACTCAAAGGTGGGAGGAAAAGACCCCCATCTCTTAGAAGCTGGGGGCAAAAAACAAATTCAAAGTTTCTGTGGCAGTAATTGACCTATGGCACAGGAAGTGGAGCCACCAAGTGAGCAAACATGTTTTTAAGTTCAGGTGTTGGAACTCTGCTCTTGAATCTTCTCCCTTGGGCCTAGCTGACCTTCCCCCACTGTTCCCAGCTGGTCTCCGGTCCTAACAGGCTGTGTGTGTGCAATGCTTGAGTAACACTGGGATGACAGAGTTCCCGTTTGGGCTTTGGAAGTTTTTGTAGTTACTGTAATTGTGGTTGTTTTTGACATTTTGGACACACCCCATTCTTAGAGAGTTACACAGAGCAAGTCCTGTTATAAAGAGCCAAATCCGAAGGAACTATTGGTGCCACTATTTCTCTCTTCCCTCTTTCCTGTGACATCCCTCAGCCTCACTCATGGCATATGAATGGCCTCCCTCCTGAACTTTGGTATTAGATGGCTATGCCTTCTTCAAGGTAGAGTAAGTAAGGTATATTTTTGAAATTAAAGATACCCTGTCATAGATTTAAATGTCCTGATTGGGTTTAATTAGGAATAAAACAAAAAGTGACAACATCAGCAGAGGAGTTACTTATAAGAAAGGGAATAGTCGGTCAGGGAATTCTTGAAAGTCATATTTATAGGTAATCTGAAGAAAATTGAGACCGGACTGAGTTTAGTTTTGTGAATCCAATGGATGCTTCAGATTTGCAACTGTGGTGTTTTTAGCGTGTGTGTGGAAAGAGGGCCCTGACACGCGCCCCCTGGAAGACCCTCCCTGACCCTCGTCTCTGGCCTCCTCTTTCTAGAGCCCCCGTTGCCATCGGAGTTGCTGCCATGTCCACGTCTGAGATGCTGGCTTCAGGCCTGAAGGGAAGGGGCTTCTCCGTGCTCCACACATACCAGGACCACTTGTGGTGGGTTCAGTGTTTGTCCTGTTTCCCTGCGAGCTGCGCGGGTGGAAGGAGCATGGGCCTGCGTTCAGAAGTGAGAGTTTTGGTCCCTGCCGTGTCCTGAGGCAAGTTGCTGACCCCAGACATTAATTTCCTTGTTAAATGTAAAGAAATAATTTTCTTTTTTTGCCTGTTTACAGAAAAAAATACAGAGAACTTTGATTGTTTTCTGGAGGGATTACAGAATTCTAGGCCTGGAAGAAGGCCATAGGATTGTCTGCGCTGCCTCTCCGGACAGTGATAGTTTTATGGTGATAGATGTGGCTGATCTGGCCTTATCCGCCGTGCACATTTAGGCATCTTTCAGCCTCGTGGCGAGCACTCAGAAAGTCTCACTTCTGAATCCAGCTCTAAGCGGAGAATATCCTCAGGCACCAGGGTGATGATTACTATCATGTCGTTCAGGTTTCACATCCCAGATCTCCTCTCCGGTCACTTTCTCACTGTAGCAATTGCTTTCTGGAGCCATATACCAGTTTACTTCCTGATTATTTTCTTGTCATTTTACCAAAACAGTAAATAGTGCTTTCTCTAGAAAGCGCTATACCTGGTCTTTGGGCCAAGTGTTGTGGCCTGCTGGTGTAGATTCATTCTTCCATTTTCTGCCCTCTTTTGGAGTTGCTCATTTCACAAGTATTGGGTAAGCCCTGCCTTGCGGGGGGTACAACCTCATCAGCCTGTGCTTAGCAGACATTTGAGAGCTGCTTACTGATGTTCTCCCAGCACCTTGTTTTCTAATGGTCTGATCAACGTCAGTCAAGGTCATGTTGTCTTAAGTTGTTTTATCAGTGGCTGCCTCAGCCCACACTACCCCCACCTTTTAAAAATATTTATGTTATTGACCTGATCAGAATAGGTTAATAATACACTCTAGCCTCATTAGTTACAATACTAATAAGCTTTGCTGCAGGTGTTAAGTAAAACATCGTTTGATTTGCATAACTTTGGATAAGATCATCCTTTGTGCTTTTACTTCTTTCCACGCTCTGCTATGTGGCAGTGCTCTTTTTTCTCTCTCCCTAAGGCTTAGTGGTATAAAACCATTGTAATCTCCACTCTGCAAGTTAGATGCGTTCTGATTTAACGCAGAGCAAGTTTTGCAATCCTTGAGCTATCCAGGTGTTTGTAATTTGTTACATCCTGTGAGCCTTGGGTGTTTGTATTTCTCTAAACTAGTCCTACAGATAGATGCATTTGTGATCGTAATTTTGTTATTCAAAATATTTTTTTAATTTTTAACTTGTAGGGACAGAATATTGGGGGGAGGGTTCTCTTTTAAGGACTTTTTCTTTCATCTTTCTCTGTTCCCAGACATGTATTTAATATTATTATTCCTTTGAGATGGGGAGGAGTCCAGACTTACTCTCTCCATTTCAGAGATAAGGAAACTTAGGCATGTGAATTTTCTGGGCCCAGAATTGAAAATAGAGTTGAGATGAGAGCACAGGTTCCCTGCTCTCTCCTGGATACCCCTGCCTCGATGGCTCTTACTCTGAACTCCTGGCTGACCCCTGACCCAGGCTGGAAAGTGCTGTGGTTGCTACGTGGTGTTTCTGACATGAGATTTTTCCAGGCGATCTGGAGACAAGTCCTCTCCGCCTTTCATTGCCCCACTGGCCCTGGATCACCCAGATGTCAGTGAAGAGAAGGGGTCTGTCCAGGAAGACCCCACCCTGCAGGAAGATTTGAGGCACCTGACTCTGGAGGGAGAGGAGGAGGAGAACAATGGGGAGAATCAGCAGGCGTGTGGGAAGAAAACGCTCCCAGGAGCCTCAGAAGACCTGAGTGTTGGGGGCCTGAACCCGGACCCCACAGACAGCAAGATCCTTCAAGGTACAGTTGGGAGCAGGGAGTAGGAAGGCCGTCTCCTCTCAGCTTAGGAGACCGAAGCGCTACGCTGTCCCTCCAACGAGAGCGGCACCGAAACTCTGGGAGAGGAGCGCACATCCTTATTTTTGATGAAGGTGGTGCAACAGCCTTTTGAAATCTCACCAGGGAGTCCCCTCCACAGAAGTCGTCTTTCCCTGGGTGTCAGTCTGCCCTGGCCTTTGGACTACTTTCAGCTACCGAGCCTGTAAATTTTCTTCCTGTCAGAGAGGCATTGGCTCCTGGCTGGGTGGAACTTTGTGCTTGACCCCTTCTCGGGGTCAGCCCTCTTTAAAGGCTCTGTGCTCCAAGAGCCTGGGACCTTTGGGACCCGGGAATGGGTTCCGTCACCAGGAAAAGGGTGAGGCAAGGGCAGAGCTGGGCGGGGAGCACCAAGCATTCTGTATCCCCCAGGAGGGGTGTGGTTCTTGTCTTTTTCTGCAGAGCAAATGGATGAACTGTTACAGCAGTGCTTCTTGCATGCTCTGAAATGCCGAGTCAAAAAGGCCGACCTCCCTTTACTTACCAGCACTTTCCTCGGCAGCCACGTGTTCTCCTGCTGGTACGGAAGGCATGGCGTGGGCCAGCCACTGGCGCGGGTCTCTGTCTTATTCCCTGGTAGTGGGTCGGGAGACGGCTGCTGGGGACACTGGTTGAGGGACATGCTGCGGGAAGAATGGAGTAAGGGATTGATCTAGCAAATATAGTAGGTCCTAAGTTTTAAAAACTTAGCCAGTGGAAGGATGTAAAGCAAATAAAGGTTAGGACTCCCCAAATTCTCAGAGCGCTGCCTCTGCTGCGTGGCTCTCGGTCATCTTGCACGAACCGGGCAGCGCGTCCTGTCCAGGAAGGGTCCGGAGCAGCCTCTGTCCGGAGGCTTCCTTTGGAACTGTGAGCCCCCTCACTCTTCTGAATAGCAGGTGGGCCAGGTTAGGCTGCATCAGGAGGAAGAATTGGTATGAACCCCCCATCGCTCCCCCAAGCACAAGCCACCGGGAGAGGGAGTGTCGCATGTGGACAGGGCCTGACCCACCTCGGTTCAAAGGCCAGCTCGCAGGGTGCTGCCGCAGTGCACGCGAGCTCGCTGCTGGGCTCCTCCGAGCCCTCGTTTCAGCACTTGCCGGATTGCTGTCAAGATTGAATAGCCTGACATTTAGTAAGCACTTAATAAATGACCTATCAGGAGATTCGCTTATTGATTTTTACCTGAGACTGAACTCCTCCCACCCCCCCGGCCCTCTGTTTTGTGAAAAGTGGTCTTACTGTAATTCCCTCCTATTTACATGTGGGCTTTGTAAGGCATCCTACCTAGACAAGAGTGGGATGTGGAGCGTGAGGCAAGCACTTGGTCATTTGTCCTGACCTTGTTGGGTGGCATGTAACTCGGACCCTGGAAGGTGCTCTATGTAGAGCTTCGTAGCCTGGGGTGGTGTCAGGAGCCCTGCTGCTATTGTGTGGCACATGTTCAGAGAAGATGTCCGTTTTGGGGAACGGAAGTGATTACAGCTTTGACTAGGAGCCTCCCCCGAAATCTCGTAGCCCTAGGGCCGGAATCAGCAAACACATTCTGTAAAAAGCCAGACAGTAAATATTTTAGGCTTTGCAGGCCATAGAGCCTCTGCTGCAACCCCTCCTCCTACTGTAGCAGGAAGGCAGCGCAGGCAGTGGGGTGGGCCTGCAGGAGCAGTTTGCGGAGCTCACTTCCCACTGTGAGCTCCGCGTGGGAAAGATTCGCCTTGATGTGGGACTTCTGAGGCTACAGGTTGTCTGGTTTGAGAGGAATCCAAAGCTATACCCAGGACAATAGCCACTAGCCACATGTGGCTATTTAAATTTAAGTTAATTAAAATTAAATAAAATTTAAAATTTAGTTCCTTAGTCACATTAGTCACATTTCAAGTGCTTAACAACCACACGTGGCTAGTGGCTATCGTATCGAATAACAGAGAACATTCCATCTTTTTGGAGGAGCCTGTCAGACAGCAGTGATCTAGATAATCCAACTCCCCCCCCCCACCCCCCCTGCAGAGGGCGGTGGAACGGAGGCCTCCTCCTGAACCGTGGGGAGGCTGGGGAAGGACCCGCTCCTCTCAGTGTCAGGCAGGTCCCGCGCTACAGCTTCGTTCGCTTAACTCGCCTTTTCCATCTGCCATCAGCCCTGAAGGACGGCAGCTGGACATAAAGAAGTCGAGCTACAGAAAGGTGAGCCGGCAGCCCGTGCACACCCGCAGCGCTGTGTGGAACCCGCCTGACGGGGGCTGGGCGAGCCCTGGGGAAGCCCTTTCTCCAGGGCTCAGGCTGGAATTAAGCCTTTGATTCCAGATACGGGGCAGGGTGGGGCGGGGCGGGGGCAGGGAGAAGACGTCCCCAGGCTGAGGTGGTTGGGTGGGCACCCCTTCCCCTCTCTCCTCTTGAGCCCCCTTTATATCTGATCAGGGTTCTGAAAGGCTTCACCGCTTAGTCTCGAGCAGCTTCTCGCCCCTTGAGCCTCTGGGCGGGGGCCTCCCAGTTCCTGGTTTGATGAGGGCAGGCAGTGCCCCACGTCCCTCCCCAGGACCTGCCTAGCGCGGTGTCTGGCACCTCCTAGGTGCTCAGTGTGTATGACGAAGTCCCCCACCACGGGCCCTCTCTCCCTTAGCTCTCTAAGTTCCTGCAGCAAATGCAGCAGGAGCAGATTATACAGGTGAAGGAGCTGAGCAAAGGGGTGGAGAGCATCGTGGCTGTGGACTGGAAACACCCGAGGTGAGTGCAGGGGGCCTGGTCACCGCAGCTCGGCGGGCCCCGGGGCACCTGGGCCGTGGACTGGGACTTGCTGAGACACTAGTATAAAATGTGTTTTTTCTTTCCTTCTGCCGGGTTTTAGGATCACATCTTTCGTCATACCTGAGCCCTCCCCGACCTCCCAGACTGTCCCGGAGGGTAGCAGGGAACAGCCCTATCACCCTCCAGATATAAAACCCCTCTACTGTGTCCCAGCCAGCATGACCCTGCTCTTCCAGGAGTCTGGCCACAAGTGAGTTTCTGGAGAGCGGCCCCGCTCTGCCTGCTTGGTGTTCTGGCCTGTAGTTCCTCTCCGCCCGAGTAGTGCTCTTCTGTGACCGGCAACACTCGCGCTGCCCTGCCCTCCCTCCCTCCCAGATCCAGCTCAAGCCTCCTTCCCTGGAAAGTGTCTCTGGACCAAATGAATGAGAGAGTAGGTCTCTCCCTTTTCTGCCTGTAATTATCCTGTACAGTTTACATGGTCCTGCTTACTACCTCAGTCAGAAAAAGGGAAGAAAATAAGAGCTCAGAAAGCTGGGGAAAGCACCCTACTGAGCAGGCAGTGAGTCTTGGAGTTTGCAGATTGTGTCCTGGCCCACCATACACTAACCTCCTGGTCCCTTCTCACCTAGGAAGGGGAGCGTCCTCGAGGGCAGTGAGGTCCGAATGATCATCATTAACTACGCGAAGAAAAATGACCTGGTCGATGAAGACAATAAGAAGTGAGTGGATTGGGAGGAGACTTGATCTGTGTTGTTAGCGTTCACCTTCAGTGGGCTTGGACAGTTTGTGGAGGATGCCTGGGTGGAGGGGCGTGTAGAAATATGTAGGACCAGGGTTTCCAAGCCATGGGCCATGGATGCCTAGAGTTATTGTCTGGGATGTTCAGCTCCATGTATGCTGCCAACATTGACTGTAGACTGAGTAAGTATGGTCTCGTATCTATCCACTACTGATTTGCAAATGTGGGTGCTTATTGTGAGGGATAAAATGCAAACTTTAAGGAATTTACCACAGACATCACAGCTTTTTGGTCTTTTCTGTTTTCTTAGTAACTGGATGCGGAAAATAGACTACTTCTTCTATGGAAGAAGTATTCCATAGTTTTTATTTTTACTTTCAAAAGACATCCTTATCATAAAGTTGTACGGACCTAATTATGGTTAGTTAGTAGCAGAACTGAACCAAGAATCCTGGTCTTTTTTGAATTTTCCCATCCCACTTTCCCCTCCACTGCCTGCTTCTCCCTTGTTCTAGGAAAGCATACTTCTACCTCCCATCCGCAGGATGCATTGCTTCATGGACTGTGGTACCACTTTTGTTCCAATAATCCTGAATGACTATACAGAATATTATGATCAGAGGGGAGTCCCGAGCTGGCCCTTGGGCCACAAGGGGCGGGGTTGAGATTTCTTTATTAATAACCTCTTCTTTCCCTGTAGTCTCGTGAAACTGGATCCTATCCTAAGTGACTGCATCTTAGAGAAAAGTGAGCAGTACACAGTCATGAAGCTTCCATGGGACAGCCTTCTGACGAGGTAGTGGGGATCGGCAGCCCCTGTCCAACATTTCGGCCCCCTGCCCTTAGTATCTATCACATTGAACTTTAGAATCATCACTATTTTAGGCTAGGCCTTTGTCCCAGAATTCTTACCATGTCAGTCAACATAAACAGTCTTGGGGATTCTGATGAGGCAGGTCTTTGGAACTATACAAGCCAACACAACATAGGAGAACTTGAGAGGGAGAAAGAGAAAGAACCCTAATTAAAAATAAGAACTTAAAGATTTAGAAGCAAATAGAAGGCTGAGGGGGAATTGTCTTGAACTCTACAGAGGTAGATCCTTATACTCATTTCCACAGAACCAAAACTGAAAATAATTTGTATCAGGAGTTTGCAAACCTGCAGCCATGGGTCAGATCTGGCCTGGTCCCTGTCCTGTAAATAGGGATTTATCAGAACACAGCCACGCCCATTTACTTCCGTACTGTCTGCGGGCAGCTTTCGCCACAGTGGCAGAGTGGTGGCAACCTTGTGGCCCTTAAAGCCTAAAATGTTCACTGTCTGGCCTTTGCTAAAAAAAAGGTGGTCAAAATCCATATATATGACAGCCAGAGAAAATGTGATTAGATAAAAGCGGAAATTTGGAAAAGGCATCCTGTAACAGACGCGTTATGGCAGCCTATCAGAAATGTGGCGTGGTACTTTCCCAGGCCGGGTAAGGTGGGGTTTTGAGACGGGTAATACACTCTGTAGAGAAACCTGGGCAAATTCTCAGAGGGCCAGGCCAGTGACAGTTGCCGGCGGTTCACATCGCTGATGTTCCTTTCCCTGAATACTCTAGTGGGTCTCGATTTCGGCTGCACCTGGAGAGCTTTAAAATATGTGTAGGCCCGGTCAGTTTCTGATTTAATTGGTCTGGGTGCAGCTCCCTAGGTAATTTGAATGATTCTAATGCGCAGCCATAGGCAAGCTGCTGCCTGCTGGGGTGGAGCGTGCGCACATGTTTCCTGTTTCCTGGTTTTATCAGTCTATAACTCATTGACGCCCATTTCAGATGTTTGGAAAAATTGCAGCCTGCCTATCAAGTGACCTTTCCTGGACAAGAGCCCATTGTGAAGAAAGGCAAAATCTGCCCAATCGACATCACCCTAGCACAGAGAGCTTCTAATAAAAAGGTAATTTTTAAAAAAGACACAAAGTTTGAAGATGATGATTAATGTTCCTTCTAAGTTCTGGTCTCTCTCTAAAGTGATTGGAGGTTTCTAAATGGACCTCAAACCCCTCCAAGGTGATTTATAAAACACCCATGTTTGTGTGACCAGGCCAGGCCCTTATAAAACAGATAAAGCTGACCCCTCACTCACTGCCCTCTAGGATTTTGTGCCAGGAAACTGGCCAGAACCTGGTTCCAAAGGTAAATAAGATTTCGTTTTTTTCTTAGAACTATGTTACAGGCTTTCAGCTCTTATTCATTCGATTACCTCTCAGGCCTTGCTCAGTGAAAACAACTCGTAAAGAACTGCTAAAGGAACTAACTGTGTTTAGTTTGGCCACACAAAGTCTTAGGGAGCCTCTCTTCAAATGCGTGAAGAGCCGCCCTCGGGCAAGGGAGCCTGCCTCTTCTGTGTGCCCTGAGGAGGCAGCAGCGGGCGATGGGCGGAAGTCCCAAGAAGACAGCCTTGGGTTCAAAATAAAGAACTTTCTAATAATGTGTGGTTATAAATGTGGACTTTGGGATTAGAGACATGGGTGCAAATGTGGCCTTTGCCTCGCTGCTTGGCCTTGCGCAAGTTACTTAGTGTCTTTTTGCCTGAGTTTCCTTATGTAAAAAGATGGGAATAATACCTACCTTATAAGGCACTCTGAGGATCAGTGAAGGAATATACATGGGTGAAGTACTTAGAATAGTATTTGGCTGATAAACATTCAATAAATGAGGACCAATGATAACCTTAATAATCATTAAGATGAGTAATGGTAATCATTAGGAATAGCTATTATTTGAGTATATAATTTATGTGCCAGACTCTATACCGAGCAATTTCTGTATATATTGGCTTATTTAAACACTCAGTTTTATATTAATAATAATTAGAATTGTCCAAAATTAAAATTGGTGCTTTCTAAAATAGGAAGTTGTTTTCTGGAGGTCTGCAAGCAAAGATTAGGCGGCTACTTGTCAGGGTTTCACGCATCTGTCGGGGGCTGGAATAGACATGACTTCCAGTGTCTTACTGATTCTGAGATTGTCTAGGGCTGGAAGCCTTGGCAGATGTAGGTTATGTGGAGCTTTGTGGACTTTACTGAGAGCAGCCCCCCCGACCCCGTCCTGAGGGTGACGCAGTCTACATCTCCAGTCGTGAATGGGCGAGAACTTGTCTTAAAGAAATGGGCAGAATTGTGTCTTTTAAAAAGTATTAATATTCCTTTTCATCTCAAAGTCACCTACTTGTCATTTGTGAGGTTGATGAAAAATAGAAAAATGCATGTGTTACTGATGAGATATTAAGAATTATTGTTTATTTTTAGGTGTGACAATAATTTCATATTTATGTTTTTAAAAGCCCTTATGTTTTGGAGACACATACTGAAATATTTGTGGATGAAATGACCAGATGTCTAGCAGGGTTTGCTTTAAAGTAATGGGGGGGGGATAGATGGATCAAGGTTGGTTATGATTTGATAACTGTTGAAAGTGGTGGCGGGCACATGGGGGCTTGTTCTACTAGTCCATTCGGTTTTAAATTCTCTGTAATAAAAACACCTTTTATAAAATCTATGTTATATGTGGGATAGAGAATATTTATGCCGCTAATATACAGGGTCTGGCAAAAGTAAGGCCTGACTGAGTGTGGTTGGCGAGGTAATAATATGGGTGTAACAAGTTATAGTTTTTTTAAAGTCCTTTTTGCCTATAGTTTTAATTTGAACATTTCACCCAGTATGTCACATGGTGTGCTTGAGTGTGCTATTGTTATGTTATAGAATTACATGCTTGTGATTTTGTAATAAAAAAGGGGCGTTAGTTGTGCCAGACCCTGTATAAAACATATATTAGAATGGGCAAGAAAGAACCAAATTAGAAGTACAAAAATAAATTATTGGGATGAAGAGATGCCGTGCTTGTGAGGATGGCGACCCCAGGGTGACGAGGCTGCTGAGGCTCCGAAGGCCCTCTGGAAGGAGGGCACATCGTCTGCGCCTGCCATCGGTCTTTTGTCCCCCCAGGTGACCATGGTCCGGAATTTGGAGGCCTATGGTCTGGACCCGTGCACAGTGGCTGCCATCCTGCAGCAGCGATGCCAGGCTAGCACCACAGTCAGCCCTGCCCCTGGGGCCAAGGACAGCCTGCAGGTCCAGGTCCAGGGAAACCAGGTCCACCACATCGGCCGGCTGTTGCTGGGTGAGCATCCCCTCGGGAGACGCAGAGCCGTTGATCTGCCTTGGCAAAAATCATGCCACCAACCCAACTCACTCTAGTTCTCATAATACCCCCACGTATATGGCCACATCGTTTTTACCAGCCAGCAACAGGTGGAGCTATTGTTTGAACAGAGAGATCCTTTGGCCTCAAGTTCAATGCTGCTTCCACCGTCCTATTAGAGAACTTTTCCTTCTGGTCCTTCTCTTTTTATAAACTTTTGTTAAACACCCAAACTGCGTTAGGCACTTTGCTGGGCTTTTTGCAGGTATGATCTCTTAATCATAATGATGCTGCAGCACTGTTTCTGTTTTGTAGACAGGGAAACTGAGGTTCTGAGAGGTTCAGGACCTTGCCCTGAGATAATCAGCTATTGGGTGCTGCCCCTGGGCTCTGAGCGTTGATTTGTCAGACTGCAGAGCCTAAGTTCTTTCAGCCAACTCGGGGTCCTCGGTTCAAACCATCTGCCACATCTCTGCCCAAGCCAGCTTCCTAAAACAAATGTGATTCTATCACTTTCCTCTAAAAAGCTTTTTGTGCCTCTTCAGTGCCTTCAGGATAAACTCTAAGCTCAGAAACAAGACCTCTCAGCCCAGCCGACCCCATCAGGCTCTCTGGCAGCTCCCACGCCCGCTCCCAGGCCTTGGCTGTGCTCGACTTGATGCTGTTGCCCAGACACACAAGCACGTGCACACTTGGGTGCTCCCTGGTGCTCCTCCCACAGCCCCCGTCCGTCCGCTTGACCCTAAAGGCTCATTGGCCAGCTTCGGGCTCATGGGAAGCCTGTCTCAGAGCATGCCCCATTTTTTTCCATTTCCTAAAATTAGCACTTGAAAAATTGCTAATGTAGCACTTGTCTTTGTATTTCTGGTTAGTGTCTGCAGCTTGGCTAGTTTTTTCTACTGTCTGAACTTCCTGCTAAGCATCTTCAGTCAGGGACCTTGCCTTTTTCACCTTTTTTTCTTCATGCTCAGGACCTGGCATATAGAAAATGCTCAATAAGGAAATATATTTTATGATCTAAGGCAGTACTCAGCCGCTAACCTGTAAAATTCAGCCTTTTTAAGTGAAGAGCCCTATATGAAGTGCTGGGGAAAAAAGAGGAAAATAGACAAACATGACTGAACAGACACACACGTTCTCTCCCATGAGAAAATTCTAAATGCCTGAACTACACCTAGCAAGTAGCTATTAACCTGAAAATTACTGAAATACACACGTCAACTTCAAAGTATAAGAAACAGCTCATCGCAGGAGACTTTGCATAGGAGTTGAGTTTGAACTGGGTGTAGAAGAGCAGATCCTGTGGTAGCGATTGTTTGAGCAGAGGCTTGACCACAGGAATGAGCGGGGAGCCCATGGAGGTCAGGGCCAAGGAGGGACACTGCGAGGCCAAGGGGGAGCTCTGGGGGCAGGGCGGGGGAAGCTCGTGCCCCACTGATGCATTTCTGCTTTTTGGATTGATTGTAGAAGAATATCAGCTTCCTCGAAAACACATCCAAGGCCTAGAAAAGGCCCCCAAACCTGCCAAGAAGAAGTGACAGATTCTTGTTTCCTTCAGTCACTCCAGTGGAAAATCAAGCTCTGGGCTGGTCATTTATAGGAGCATTTTCAGCTTTTGCAAATAAAAAATATATCTTTACCAAAATAAATTTTTATTCTAATCTAAATCTGATTTCCCTCATTTCCTCCACTTAGCTAAAATGTACTGAATGTTCAGGTCAGGAGCCATTTTAAAGTGACAGAAGAGGCTGTCGCGGAGACCTTCGTTCTCTTGGTGTCAGTGGTTTTAGTTCCTCCACAGCCTCCAGGGCCAGACAGCCCGTCCAGAGCTCGGGCCAGTGGGGCCTTCCTGTTATTTCGAAGTCCCTCTGCCAGTCGTCCACAGCCCCTTGCTCATCTGTTCCTACCACCTGAACAACCTTCTAGCCCCAGCACAGACCCTTCCTGTCTCTAAAGGGTTATTCGTACAGAAAGCAGAACCCAGCTGTGGTCATCCATCAAGGCAAGAGCTGCAAGGAGTAGCCCTGAACTGCAGCACACTTCAAACTACATAGACATTAGAGACAGTACAAGAACACGAGGACGCGGGTTTCTGTACAATGGCTCTCCCTGAGGGTCAGCACGCTGCCATAGCAGTGGGGAACTGCGGGGTGGCTTCCAGAAGACGGCTTCCTTACAGCGACGGCTCACCCACAAACGCTTTCTTTAGCTCTAAACTTCTTGACCACCTTAATGGGGCTCATGGGAGGGGTCTTTAATTGGTTTTCAGAGGGTCCACGAACTCCCTAAAATGGTATGCAAGATTGTGCTTGATCATTTTCCCAAGAGAGGCTACCAGGCTTTTGTCAAATTCCCAGTGAGATCCCTTGATGCCCACAAAGTTCGGAACCACTGCTGTGGTCCCTACTCAGTTCATGGAAGTCATTTCTGTGACTACAATTCTCCTTGTACAATAGGAAGGAGTAAGGGCTGAGCTGCATTCCTTTGGAGTTCTTTGGTTTTACCATCAAAAAACAATCATACTTCAATTTACATATTTTTTCTTTCTCACTTTCTTAAACTGAGATAAGACAGACTTGAAAATGTTCCAAATATATTTATTCACACATTACCTGTCAGAGCTTGAAGAGAAAAGGACAGGTATGAAACTGTGTATGATGCCTCCTACTTTTTGTTACCAGGCCCAGAATAACAGGCTGCTTCATTGAAACTGTCAGTACACTTAATTTTACTAATCCTCTCTCTGCTGACCTGAGCAGATGGAACTGAGAAAGAGATTTCGAGAAATTGACCCCAAATAAGATTATACCAGAACAAAACCTTTGGACAGTTCGATGTGAGGGAGTACGGTATGTATAGAAGTAATGAAATACAGTCCTTATATGAATAGAAATAACATGTACTACTTTATAAGTCTTTCACAAACATGATTTGATATTTTTGCACAATCTCGAAGGGACTGGAGGCACAGAGAAGTAATGTCTCGCCGTGTTAACTCCTGACAGAGTCACAAAACCAGTGAACAGTGGGCTGGGTCTTAAATGACCAGCCGCCTCGCCGTGGTTTAACCTGTTCTGCGGTGACACGCGGCCACCCGGGACCTGTGCTCTGCACAGTGTTTCCAGGATGGGTGCGCCTTCGCAGAGTCACCTTCCTTTTCTCCTCGTGAGCGCACAGGGACATGTAAGAAGGCAGGGAAGAGTTAGGCTGTGTAATGGTTCTTTTTTCTATGTGCTAAGAGCCAAATCTTCTCTATCAAAGCCAAACTTAGAACTTGGAACTTAATCCCATGTTGTAACGAAATGAGTTTCAATGAAAAGCAGAAACTGGTTCATTTCGAGGTTTTGGCAAAATTATTGAAAGACATGCTCCTTGGAGGTCTCGGGGAACAAACGTTACAGCGGTGCCCCCTTTGGGATCATTTTAAGACCATGTATTGGACACCCCTACCGGGAGGTAGGGGGCGAGCTGAACGAGCGCCGAAGGGCCCCAGCAGCCCAGGCCCCCGTTCACTGCATTACGTGCAGTCAACACTGGAAGGCAGGCAAGAATTTCTTCTGAATAACTTTTATGTGGTTCTTTCCATGGTTACTGAGGTGTTCCTTTCATGGTCGTTAGATAATGCTAAAGTGAAGGGACCATTTTTGTCATCTCATCGCGCCCTCTTTCTCCAGGTGATACGGTCTTAAACTCTCACCCACATTCCTATCTATTTTATCTTTAAATACAGGCATGCCTTGGAGATATTGCAGGTTTCGTTCCAGACCACTATAATGAAGCGAGTATTGCAATAAAGTGAATTGTAATCTTGCTGGTGGAGGATTTAGCCTTTAATTTCTAAAAAACACAACATCTGTGAAACAATAAAACTAGGTATGCCTGTAGTCCTTGGAAATAGAAGGCATACACATGGCCAACAGACAGAAAAAGATGCTCAGCATCAGAGAAATGCAAATCAAAACCACAATGAGAGAGCACCTTGCACCTGTCAGAATGGCTACCATCAAAAAGTCAACAGCTCTGACTGGTGTGGCTCAGTGGGCTGTGCGGCGAACCTAGAGGTCGCCAGTTTGATCCCTGGTCAGGGCACGTGCCTGAGTTGCAGGCCAGGTGTCCCGGTTTGAGGGCATGCAAGAGGCAACCAATCGAAGGTCCTTTCCCTCTCTCCCTCCTCTTCCAAGAATAAATAAATAAGATCTTTTAAAAAAAAAAAAGTTAACTAATAACATGTATTGGTGAGGATGTAGAGAAAAGGGAACCCTCACGCACTGTTGGTGGGAATGCAGACTGGTGTAGCCAATATGAGTAACAGTATGGTGTTTTCTCAGAAAACTAAGAATAGAACTACTGTATGACCCAGCAATTCCACTTCTGGGTATTTATCTGAAGAAAGCAAAACCACTAACTTAAAAAGACATATGCATCCTTGAAATTGCTGCACCATTATTTACAATAGCCAGTATATGGAAGTAACATAGGTGTCCATCGATAGATAATTGGATAAAGAAGATGTGATGTATATAATGAATTATTAGCTATAAAAAAGAACAAAATCTTGCCATTTGTGACAACATGGATGGACCTAGAGGGTATCATGCTAAATGAAATCAGACAAAGACATACTGTATGATTTTACATAAATGTGAAATCTAAAAAAAGAGAAATGAACAAACAAATAGAAACAGATTCCTGGATACAGAAAGCAAACTAAGGGTTGCCTAACAGAAGGGGGTGGAGGATGGATGAAAAGGGTGAAGGGGAACGAGTTATAAACTTCCAGTTACAAAACATCATTCCTGGGGGTGTAATGTACAGCGCAGCGACTACGGTCGGTAGTAGCACGATGATTTTGTACAGTTACAGATGGTTACCAGACTTACTGTATTACTCTGTAAAGCACATAAATGTCAAATCACTGTGTTGTACATCTGAAGCTAATATGTTGTATGTCAACTATACTTGAATTTTTAAAAAAAGAATAAACTGGAAGCAGAAAAAAGAAACAGAAGAATCGTTGCCTCGCTCAGCAGCCTGCCATGAGTTCAATCACCCTTAGCTCGAGAGCCCTCGTCTTTCCTGTGAGAAAGCCCCCTTTCCTCCCCTGTGCTGTGGGGATGTAGAACAGCCAGTCACCTAGGCAGCACCCTCCAGCCCATGTATTTGGACAGTTTTCTTAGGATTATTTGAACAGCAGCCTTCACACCTGTTTGCTGGCAAAAGGAAATCTGACTCCGCCAAGAAGTGTGTGCTCGTCTCGGTTCCCTCCTTCTCTCCCAGCTCCCGTTCCATGAGAGAGGGAAGTTCAAGGACGGGGTCTCCAGTCTGAATCGTTTTTGCAACAAGCTTTTATTACTTTTTTTAAAGCCCCTATAAGAAAGACATTTAAAGAGGAAATGTCCTCAACACAAACACACGGGACAACAGGACGATAGAAGGCACTACCAACAGTCATACCCACCTCTGGGAAGGGAAGGATACTTGATCCATACTGTTTTCGGAGGCTTGGACCTCAGACTTGGTCCTGGGTCTAACTGTGCTTTAGATAAAGTCTGCATTTTACCATAATTTTCTTATTTCATAAACACCTCTATCTCTTTATATATAGCTATACACTTTTATGGAATATATATGTACTTGACTTTTCACTCCTTCTCAAAAATAAAGTAGCCACCTCCATCAGACGGAGGTTCTCAGCAGCATTCACAGCAGTTACAGCAGGAGCTGTGCCTTCTATTACTGGTAAAGACATGCAGCATGAAGGAAGAGGACTCTGCCCACTCCCTTTAATACAGAGCAGGGAGACAGCGTCTTCAAGGGAGTGAAGTGATAAGGCTGAGCATGAGATGGCAGACCACTAGGGTTTTGTGGTTTAAAAAATCTTTCCAAGCTGCTAGTCCATCCTGCTTTTGCAGCTCTGAAGATGAGCACAGTTTGCATGGTAAAGGGGCTGCGTTCCTGCTCGGATCAGGGCAGCGCAGGCTTGGCAAGGGTCAGGGAGGGACGTTCTGAGGCTACACATGGAAACTTAGGCTTGGGCCAACCCAAGAGGAACTTGGGAAGGCAGAGGACATAGACGAAATGGTCTCTCAGAGGCTGGATTGAAAAACCTGCCCTGCTTTAAAAGTTCAGTCTTTCTCCTTCGGTACTGGAATGTCTTTGCAGTCCTGGCTACTTGGTTGAGTTGTTTGGCTAGTTTCCTTTTTAGGTTGGACCGGAACAAGATTTCAGTACAAATGGAGAGTAGGGAATCTGATCCATCCTGTTAATGTGGTTTGACATCACTTACGGGAATCAAAGCCCAGACCCCAGGTTTGACCCTGACCCATACTTGGAGGGAGGGCTCTCCTGGCCTTGGCTCCCACACCACCACGGTCCGCTGCCTGGTGGGGACAAGCCAGCAGCAAAGCTTCACGCAAACTCTCCCTGCTTCTGTCTCTCTGGAAACAAAAAGGCACTGAGGTCAGCGGGAAGGCCAGCCCCAGGGCTCACTGCGCACAGTGCCACGGGCGGCCCCAGCTTCAGAGCAAGGGACTCCAGGTTGGCTGAGTTGGGAGGTTCCCCCTCTGTAGTCAAGGCAGCGCCTCTGGCAGCACCTGGAGATTCCATAGGCCGGGGGAAGAGAGAGACAGCTCTGGAGGCCTCGGGACAACGAAGGCGGTCTGGCCCTCCCCTGATCTCCCGCTGGGGGAAGGCTGGAAACAGCTTGGACACATTTGTTGCAAAGCTGTTTGGTTTTCTCTGACTGCCTGAATTCCATACTCAGCAGGAGACTTCAAAACTGGTAAATAACTGGTTTCCTTTTGGTGAAACCTGAGGATAATGGCAATATTAAATAAAGTTGTAACTTAAGAACAAACAGTTGTTGACAAAGCTGCAGCTAAGCACCACACATAGAACTTTGGGCTCACGTGTGCACAGACTTGGGTGATGAGGGCCAGGGCCAGGCTGCAGCTTCTCCAGAAATCTGAGCCAACCTCTGCTCTAGTGCTCCTGGCCTGAGCATCGGGGGCCAGTGGGGCACAGTCCTTTTATGAGCATAATTCTGCTTTCAGCAGCTTAGCTCAGACCTGCTCAGGAAATATACTACAGCTTTTGACTCATAAATAAAGGTATTGCAGGTGGCAAATAAAGGAGAAATTGAAGAATAAAAGCCAGAGAGAACATATGTCTCTAATCCCTTTTTCTTTTCCTTTGCCGGCTGGCGCGCATGGTTCCAGTTCGGTGATGAGAGAGGCAACTATTTGGTTTGTGAAAGGCTTGCACACAGCAAGAGAACGCCGGTCGTCCTTCACACAAGTGCTGCTTGGCAGGCGCAGATGGGCAGTGCGTGGAGGGGCAGGACCCAGCCCCACGCGCACCTGTCCGTCAGAGGCTGTGCCACATCTGGGACTGCCGGGCGAGCACGAATGCATCCATCGGAGGTGTCCTGAGAAAAAGTGTCTGTTGCAAAATAATAATTAATAATAAAAAATAAATCTGTGGACACTGGGAGCAGAGGAAGCAGGACTGGTTAGCCAGGTTTGCCCTGGGACTCTCTTAAAGCCTCCTCCAGTTTCTGCCTGAACTTGTCATACTTCTTCTGCACTTGTTGAATTTTGTCCTGCTCTTCTTTTTCCAGGATTGTTAGGAAGTTCTGGAGCTCAGGGATGGAGAAGGCATCCCACTGTGAAGCGAGAGGGAGACAGGTTAGAAGCGCCGACCCAAGAGGCCTTGCTGCTTCCACGGCCACACAGTGGCACATGGTCCGCTTCTGAACAGGCAGGTGCAATAAATAATGTTTGGGTTTTCCATGCCATATTAGCAACAAAACTTCAAATCCTGGTATCTTAAGACCAAGAGGTACTAGTCCACTAGCCGATTATCCATATTTTTAATCAATAATCTTAAGTGTTCTCTGTAGCAGCTGAGATCTTAAGAGAGATGCTGGGGCCACCCAGGGCCCCGGCTGGCCTGCTCCAGCTGCCTGCCTGGGTGATAGGAGGCTCCCAATATGCAGACTCTCAGAATTTGGAGCAGAGCTGGACTTGGGCTCAAGAGGCTGGGTTTCAGCCTGAGTCCACCCTGTGACCCTGAGCTCATCCTTCCACCCTTCGCAGCCTGCTTTCTCATCTGCCATGAAATGAAGGTATCTCTCGCCTGTGGCTAGCAGGGCAGATAATGAGATAGCCTGCAAAGCTCTGCAGAACCTGGCTGGCCCGGGCCTGCCGGGAGGGGGCCTGGCCTCTCAGGTGACCCAGGAGCTGAGGCCCCCAGGGGTCAGGGGTTTCAACTCCTAAATTCTTTGAGCACAAAGGAGTAATAAGGTTTATGCGGTTTCTCCCCCACATTGCATACATGAGAAAAACAAAGTCCACAGAGGGAAGGTGGTGTAACGACAGTCACCGAGCTTGTGGCAGCAGAACTAGACTCAGACCCCAGGTCTCTAAATTCCCAGGCCTGTGAGCTTTCCTCTGGGCCAGCAGTGTTCAAACATTTTCAGTAGGAAACTTTTCCAAACAACCACAACTGCCTGGCTAAGGTGGGGAGAAGGATAGAATCCCACTGGCCTAGACCCCTCAAATGTCCAAAGGGACCTCCAAGACCACCCTCCCAAACCTTAGGCCTCTGCAGAACACAGCGACAAACACCGCGAGAACCCCCTGCTGCGGGTCACAGGGCTCCACCTTCCGAACATCCCAGGCCACCGGGGGGCGCCTGTCTGTCTGCTTTCAGCCCAGGTTACACCACCAGATCGGACAGCTCCCCTTGGGGGAGTGCGGTTAATTTTTAAGAACCAGGGAGAGAAAAAAGACTCAAAAATATCTCTGCCCAGTGAAGCCCAGAAATGGCACTTGCTGCGACCTCAGGCACCCCCCCCCCCGACCCCCCAGAGCAAAACAACCTGCGCGGAACCCAAGGCGTTTGTCTGTGCCCTCCCACCCTGAGTCTTCAGAAACAAGGCACACGAAGCCCTGTCTTTCCCGCGCCAGAGCCAGGCCCTGACCAGGCCCCAGGGTCCCGACCATCTGCCCTACCTGGGGCAGCACTCACCCCAGCCCAACTTTCGCAGGTCATTTTCCTGCTGCACCTGTGCTGGGCAGTGAGGGCAGCGCCCACCTGCACCTGCCCACTGTGCCCGAGGGCTATGTTTGTGCAGCAGCAAAGGGCCCCAGGCCTACCTCCACCTCTCCGGTCTCGTTCTCCTTTAGCACAAAGCTGAGGACGTCAGTGTCGGGCCCGGCGAGCAAGCGCAGGTAGAGGGGGCAGTCAGTGATGGAGAGTTTCTGGAAAAGCACTGCAAACCAAGAGAGGGGGCTGGGAGCTCGTCTGGGGAGACAGGGGCCAGGGCCCTGGGTGGGTGGGGCAGAACTGGGCAGAGGCGGGATGTTTATAACACTGGACAAGGTCATCCTTTCCACCTAAGGGAATGAACCTGACAAGAATAAATAAAGGAACAACCTTTTTATCTCTGGTGCTTGCTCAGAGTTTGAAGCATGTTTCCATTCACGTCACCTCTCAAAAGATGAGGAGCAGTGGGCAGACTCTCTCCCATTCCACAGATTAGGAAGCGGGAGCCCTGGGTGTGGTTTCCCTTAAGTCACATACGGAGCGAGGGGCGCAGTGAGCAGCATGAGCGCCCCCTCCGGCATGCGGGTGTGGCCTTCCACAGATCCGACGCCACGCAGATGACCTCACTGCGCTCCCCGGAGAGGGCCACTCCTCCCCTCCAAGCCTGGCAGGTTAGCGGGGGCACGGACAGAGTGGGAAAGGTGGTTTCTAGGGGGAGCTCACGCTCTCATACCTTGCCCATCCTTGTGTATCTGCTTAAAAAGTGCAAACTTCTGGGGGTTGTCCACAACCATGAACTTCTTGAGCAGCCCCTGGATGACCTCACTGACTGTGGTGGTGCTGCTGATATGAAGCTGCTTGATGGCGTCGAGAGGCAGGTAGAAGGACGTCCGCTTGTCTGTGGTGGCGGCCAGGTTCACGTCCTTGATGGCATCGTAGATGGACTGGGGCCGGATCCCGGCCGGTACTGTCACCGGCCGCCGGAGTTTCAAATGCACTTTGATGAAACCCGTGTAGGTGCCATCTTCACTCTGCCCGTGGGGGGAGGTCATACGGGGTCAGGGCAGGTCTGTCTTGCAAATCCTACTTGCCACTTGGGCAACTGCCCCAGGTCCCAGGGACTACAGAGGCCTTTCCTAATAGCGGTGCCACCCCGGCAGCCCCACACCTGATTCCCTAAGCTCCTCCCCGCCTCTGTTGGTCTAGGGGTGCCCAGTGGGCCTCGAGAGGGCGCATAGTATCTGAGTACCAGAGAGGATACTTGGCGCTGCTGTGGCCTTTCCTCCAGAGAGACTCAGGCTGCCTGCCCCTAATCTGCCACCAGACAGATGCTCATCGCCTTAGGGGAGTCCCCACTTTAAAAGGCAGGGTCTGGAGTGGCCTCTTTCCAAAAACCCATTGCCCGCGGGACTGAAACCCAGGCCCACGTGTGACTGGATTTCCTGGGGCCTCCCCTAGGCGAAGCCCCAAAGAGCAGTTGCTGCCAGCCACCAGCAGGGGGCGGGGGTCTCCTACTTTCTTCTCCTCTCCCCTCCTCTGCCCGCTAAGGATGCCTTTCTGAACCTGGCACAACGCCGGTGTCTCCTCCCCCCAGCCTCCCACCCCTGCCTTGCTCAGAGCTCTGCACAATCTAAAGAAGCTTCCCCAGGCACAGGCTGTACTTGTGCGGCCACCAAGAGGAGCTGTGAACGCTCCTTGTGCAGGGCTTCCTGGAGGCCAAGCAGTGCCGAGCCCTTGGTCATTGTACATCATTTAATTCCCCAAAGGGCACTAATATCTCAGTTTTACTCTAAAACCCAGGAAAGTTAAGAAAATTTCCCAAAGTCACAAGTGAAAAAGTGGAAGAGCCAGAGGCTGGATGTGTATCTTACACATCCATTCGGGTTCTCTCAAGTATGCGGGCCCTGGCGGGCGCCCGCCACAGCCCCCGTGGCCTCCAGAGGCCAGAAGAAACGGGCCGTCCAGGTGGGTAGCCCCAGAACCCAGAGCGGCTGCAGCGGAGCCCGACTGGGAGGGGGTGTGGAGCAGGCGCGGGGAGAGGAGGCGGGGCACGGGAGGCGCGCAGGTGGGCCACCGCTCACCAACTTCATGCCCAGGCAGTTCTTCTCCAGGCTGTTGTAGCTGGCGATCTTCTGCTTGATCTCCTGCAGCGTGGGCGGGCTCCGAGGCTCCTCGGCAGGTTTGCAGACATTCTGGAACAGACACATAAGTGAGGGTGGGCGTACAATGGTTCTTAAGATTCGAAGGGGAACGGCCACACCCTCCCAAAGGCCTCGGCGCAGCAGCCCCCTGAAGGGACAATGGATCGCGGGACGCATCTATTTGCCGGGCCTGGAGCTGTTACTGCCAACTGCTGAGGTTTCCGCTTCAGATGCAAGAAAAAAGGGTCCTTGCACCGGGTCTATTTGATTGTGGCAGCCAAGACTGAGTAGTACGGGAATACAGGAAAAAACAATGGTGAGAGTTTTTGCAACTCAGAAATAACCTTGTAAGCAGTGAAGAGCCCGTTTTACTCCAAAGAAGAAACTAAATATGAGTTTATGAGAGAAGTGTTGACAAATTACTCCCCTACACCCTTACCCTCTGATTGATTCCACCTTTAAAAATGTAAAGGTTAAAACTAATTAAAATCAAGCCAGTGAGATTTAAAAAAAAAGAATTGCGTGGATTCAGGGTGGGAACAGAGGTCTAATCCCAGCTGTGCCACTGTCTGCTTGTCTGTGAAATGGGAGCAATGCCTCCCCCTCGGGCTCGTTGTGAGGACAGCATGAAGGTGCCCGGCCCACAGGCCCTGACAATGAACCTGGAGGGTCAGCAGAACTGCATTTGCTGACCAAGGGCTCTGTGGAGAAGATGCTTCTAGGTGCTACGGCAGATGCAAAGAAATGCAAGCTGGGTCCATCTCCTCGGGGAAGTAACAAGAGAGGTGGGGCGACAGCAATGTAGGGCGATGCCGGCCTGGGCTGACAGGAATGACAGCAGCTCTCGAGCCCCAGGGGTCCAGGGGCACAGGGCCACCAGTTCAGGCCCTGCATCATAATAAGTAAATATATTTGACAAATGAATGTGTGAAACGGTGGGGGCAGGGGCTGCAGACCTCTACGGTCACTGAGGGATGAACCCCCTCTGCTGCGGCCGAGGGACAACCCGCACTTCCTCAGCGCCCACCCTCTGTGTGTGCACTTGGCGCATCGTCTCATTTAATCCCTGTGAACCAAAACTCTGCAAGACAGTTTCTTATCCCATTTGACAGGTGAACAACTGAGACTTCCAGTTTAGTAACTTGCCTAAAGCCCTACAGTCAGTGTGTCCCGAACTAAAAGAAAATTCCAGGTCTGTTCTCTTGTGTTCTTCCTATGACATCATGGTTTACTCTTCTCATCGCTTCCCCATCCCCGCCACCTACCCCCCCCCAGGAAAATAAATGAATGGAGCTGAGGCGATGGAGGTCAATGTTCTTCGCACTATGGAGGGGAACCAGGGGGGTGAATTCTGGGGTCCATGCCGCTCTGTCCCTCAGTCAATCCCCTGGATTTCTCTCCATTTCATTGCCACCCGACATCCTGGTTTTGTCTCATGCGGTCTGAGTGTGGCTGGGAGTGCAGGAGCCCCAATGCAGGGGAATAAATGAAAAAAATAGGTTGGTTGGTCAAAACCCGCCCAGAATTTGCCTGATCTTAGAAACCTATCTGATTCGTGGAGGCTCAGGATTCTCTTTTGGCAAAAGAGGAAACTGAGGCCAAGAGAGGCAGGTGACTGTTCTCTGGGATGCCTCCCTAACACCAGACATCCAGCGGGCGTCTGGTTTGGTTGGGGAATTTCGCAGCCACTTGCCATCACATCAACACCGAGCTGAACACAACGGCACTCACAGCAGAGCCTGACCTGGCCTTCCCCCCCTCAGCAGCTGGGCTCGTGGGAGACGCGTCACACTCAGCAGCGTGCCATTACTCCCTTCTCTCACTTTCCAAACCCACAGAGCCCATAAAATGTCAAGCTCTGTGGCTGCCAAGGAGCGCTGATGTGGCCCCCCAGGCCTCAGCATGGGGGTAAGCTGACGTCCCTTTTCTGTGACAGCATCTTCCCGTGGCCTGTTCTCCCTCTTTACTCTTCCTCAGGGATCCTGACAGTAACAGCCCTGTGCTATGTGTTTTCACATGTTTTCTTCGCTTTGTCTTACATACTACATATTTTATTCCTATTTTACCGTTTACAAGACTGAGGCTTGGAGAGGTTAAGAAACATGCCTGAGTTTCTTAGGTTCTTTTTTCTTTTAAATTTTATTTATTTATTTTTAGAAAGAGGGAAAGTAAGAGCGAAAGAGAGGGAGAGAAACATCAATGTGTGGTTGGTTACCTCTTGCACACCCCCAGCTGGGGACCTGGCCCACAATGCAGGCATGGGCACTGCCTGGGAACAGAACCAGCAAACTTTTGGTTTGCAGGCTGGTACTCAATCCACTGAGCCACACCAGCCAGGGCAGTTTCTCAGGTCCTACTGCTAGTAAGTAGCTGAGTAGAGCCTAGAACCACGTTCACCCAGGTCTGGCGCCCACCTGCTTCTCAATTCACCACGCGGCCTCCCTAGGATGGCCTCTTCTGCTGAAGGGCGCTGGCCCACCACTCGCATAATGATCGCTGAAGTTCCACGCCGCAGGGCTGGGATGAGCGGCTGCGAAACCAAGGCCTACACACGTGACCTGTGAAACGCTCACCCAGGGTGTACTGGATCAGTGAGTCAGGCCCAGAGGCCTCCGGCGCCGGAGCACCAGGTCTCCTGAGAAGACGGCAAGGAGAAACTTCTAACCTCTGGAATGAGGTGCAGCCGCCAGGGTGTAGGGTCCACCCATTTCCGATCTGGTCACTCAGGTCTCTGAAACTGGAACTTGATTCCATGGAAGACCACCCAAGGGGAAGCATTCCCAGGGACATCTCCCATTTGCTCGAGGTGAGTAGCACTGACTGTCTTCATTTGCTGTCATTCATCCAGAGGCCCTCAAAATGGCGCTTCCCATCCCTTCCCCGGGCGCAGCTCTATGGGACCTGGTCTGACCCTGCCTGCCCCCGGGGAGCTTCCAGTCAGAAGGACTGGTGTCCCACTAGTATTGTGCACTCAATTCTGTCTGTCTCTGAAGCACACAGGCTGTTTTTCCTCAAGGGTGAATAGCTTCCTCATACTCATCGACATAAGAGTTAAACGATGGAGCCCTGACCACTAAGGCTCAGCTGGTTAGGCATTGTCCCGCCAAGCAAAAGATCACCAGTTCAATTCCTAGTCAGGGAACATGCCTGGGTTGCGGGTTTGGTCCCGGTCAAGGGCACATACAAGATGCAACTATAGATGTTTCTCTCCCTTTCTTTTTTCCTCCCTTCCCCTCTCTTTAATAATAAATAAAGTTTAAAAAAATTAACTGATGGAAAGAAAACTCTAGAAGTTCTGGAAGATCTCCTCTCATAGTTTCCAAATGAACTACAGCCATTTCTCTGTAAGAATAGGCATCTGTATCCCAGCTTTTGAAGGCTGGCATTTCTGACCTGGTTCTGAACACAGCCAGAGTCAGGACTGCCTTAACCCACAGCTTCTTCCTCTTCCTGTTCCCCTTTCCTTCAACAGATAGCCCATCTTCTACGCTGTTCCCACCGCAAACCGAGGGAGTGACACAAGTGGCCCCGGGCACCTCCTCCAGGACTGACTGACGTAGGAGACAGCTGTCCTGCCCTCACCACCTTGCCTGTGAGAGCCAGGAGCCCTGTGAGGCCAACACATGAAACCTCAACACCCTCGGATGTCAGCACCCAGGCCTGGGCAGGCTGCTGCCCACGCTGGCAGACAGGGTCTGACCCATGGAATGAATGAATCACCTCCCAAGCCAGCCAGCCACAGCCACAGGGCCCACCGGTCCTTTCCCAGCCAAGGGATGGTACGGAATCCAGACCAGTGATTCTAAACGTGGCTGCACATGCAGTCTTCTGGGGGGTCTTCAGAAACACAGCGCCTGAGCTCCACACTGGAGATTTAATTGGTCTGGGGTACAACCTGGGCATAGTGATTTTTAAAAATCTCCCACGTAATTCTAATGGGCAGCAATGCTTGAGAACTGGAGTAGACCCCTCGCAGGCAATTTCAGACCTCAAGATCCCCACGCAGTTGCAGCGGCCCACAGCTACCCACCACCCCGAGGGTTTACCTAAAAGGCGGCATCTGCCGTGGGAACAAAAGCGTTAATACGGTAACCTTTAGACATCCTGGGTAGAAAGGACCCCAATTTCTATTCACCTGGCAGATTCTCAAGCACTCAAAATGAAAGATTTGTTTCTGTCCACGGGCACAAAGGTAGGAACCAGGCAGAGAGAGTTTTGTTTCCTGGGGTGGCCCAAGATGGAGACAGAATGGGGAACTCACTCCCTTATGACTGAACAAACACAGGCTCTGGCCTGTAAGGTGTCTCTCCTTGGAGCTTTACACACTCAGTGCATCTGGCATAGAATTCATCCGCCCTGATTGAGCCCAGGCAGTGGCAGCAGATGGTTTAGCCATTCCCAGTGCACCCGGCACATCCATGGCATTGGGGGAAATGCCCTGAGCCATGGGAAGGGCTGTGTCCTCGCCTAGCTCTCGCGGTTACTGGGTTACACACAGCTGACGAGGCTGGGCGCTATGAGTTAGAGATGCCCCCTGAGAGAGTGCTCCTCAAGTTTTTCTATGAAAATACCCTTAACAGCAAAATAAAAAGCACCATCCCCTTGCAGTCTGGGGCCTATCTCCAAGCAGATTTTCCATAAGTTGAATTTTACTCTATTTTAAGAAAAACGCACACAAACACTGGCTAATTATGCGTTCTAATCAATGATGTATGTAAAGTCTTAATTTTGGACCCGGGGGAGTGACCCAACGATCTGAGAAGAGGCAGAGAGGGAATCCCGCGGCCCTTAGTATCCCCAGGTTCAGGCAAGGCAGCCACGACGGCTCCAGCGACGAGGGGGCCCCGGGGGGAGGGGGTGGCCCAGCAGAATGTGTCCCGTCCTCAGTGCTGGGGCCGTCAAACACATTTGTGCCCATTTTTTCTTGCCCTAAATCACACAAACCTCATTTTTGCCAAAACTTTCTCTCTCCCTCTATTTGAATCGGTCAGCCTTCTCTTCCTGCTTTTGCCATCTCACTCCTGTCCGCTCGTCTCTAGTCCCTTCCTCTG